CGAAAGCAGTGAAATTTTTTTATAATTAAGTCATTCTCACTTACCTCTTGTATGTAATTTGCAGCGAATTTAAGTCGATTATCTAGCTTTGAAGCCCTCCAATCTGCAGCAACAAGGTTGAATCCTTCTCTTTATATTGAAATTTTTATTTAGATTCAGCACAACCACCTAGCCGTATGTACGAAGCTGCATTTAAAAATATATGTTACTCATAATATAAAGTTCGTCTAACAGGAGCTTGCCGAAAGACTATGTAAGATTGGATCAAGACATCCTATCGCCTTTTGCAGGGAAGAAACAGTTATATACGTATGAAACTATGGACTTCTGGGAACAAATCAAAACGCCTGCGTACGTCGTATTCAAAACATGCATTCTCTTAAGATTCATTTGCATCCGTTCAAAAATATACGCACATCTTTCTGTGTGAAATCTTGCAGAATGTCCTTGAAATGCTCTGGCTTATATCTCCTCCAATACCGTGTCACCTCCCCCGACCTATTGGCAAATGGAGATGGTACGAAAAATGCTATCATCACCGGGGATGTTTATATTCATCCTTCAGCTAAAGTACATCCAACAGCCAAGGTAACCTTCCAAATCCTGTAGTTAATTTTGTTATTTTTCTGCTTTCATTTAGATTAAACTTCTAAGTTAGCCTCTCGTCTATGTCGTTATGCAGATTGGTCCTAATGTCTCAATATCGGCTAATGCTCGAATTGGAGCTGGTTCTAGGCTCATCAGCTGTATCATCCTTGATGATGTTGAAATTCAAGTATGGATTTATTTTTGTAAATAAAATTTGGACTTCAACTTGAAGCTTATTTTCTTTTGGCTCGTCAGGATAATGCAGTTGTCATTCACGCCATTGTTGGGTGGAAATCTTCCATTGGTCGATGGTCTCGTGTACAGGCAAGTCGAGATATGTGCTTTCTTGTTTTGTTTTCGGGTTTTAATTTCTCCATGAAGAAGCTGATAACATCTATACCATGAATATTACTCTTATACTACTGCTAGGCTGATGGAGATTACTATGCAAAGCGAGGAGTTACAATTCTAGGTCTTACCCTTTACCTCACTTTTGCTCTTGAAAAAAGCTTCTGTATTTCATGGCTGTGGTTCTAACATGGCAAACATCGGTTCAATTGTCTAGGTGAAGCGGTCGCGGTTGAGGACGAAGTAGTGGTGACAAACAGCATTGTACTCCCAAACAAGACTCTCAACATGAGTGTTCAAGAGGAGATTATTCTATGAAAAAACCAAACCAAACAAAAGGGTCGGTATATTTTTGTTTCGTATAACCCAATGTTCAACTCGAGAAACGGATGTGGAGGCATCAAAAGTTGGAGACTTCTATTAACTGAGATCTGTTTGAAATTGGCTTACATTGATTCAATTATGCAAAATACAGACAATAAACTACATATTCGTAGAAAAACTAGCTATTCGAAAGCTCAGCTTGATCAACCACACAGACTTTCCAAGTCATTAGGGGTTCCTAGGCGGTATCTTGTGATGGTAGTACGATACCATATGACGATGGCCTCCAGAGATCGGAGTTGACACAGCCAAGCTGTGCACAGCCAGCATCATACAAGAACCCTATGCTCCAAAATTCAGTTCAACAAAAGAACGACTTGAATACTATACTTGATAGATGTTGGTTGACAAGGATCCCAAGCTACAAAAAAAACCAATCATCAAAAGGATGACTTCAATGCTATAATTGGTTGATCGATGTTGGGTGACAAGATTTATGCCTCAGGAATTTGTATTGATGATCTGTTCACAGTTTCAGAGTACCATAACTTCCAGGCATCCTTGTAATGAGAGAATAATTCTCTTAAAGCTGCAAAATCATAGGAAGGAGAGCTACTGGTATGTTCATTATTGTCTTCTAATTAGTAGTTCACTCAACATGAGGCACTTGAAGAGAAATTAGCATGGAACATACCTTGGTTCTGATACTGAGGATGATAAGTTGAGGCAAGGCTCACCCAGTTATGACGAACCCGTTTCACTTCATTTTTAGAAGCTCTAACTTCCAATCTAGCAATGGGAGAAAAGGGTCCAAATATGAAGCTCTTAGAATTTGGATGGCGCTCAAATTTGCCACTTTGGTTCAAATCTACTTCAACTCTACAACCCTCAAGATGCACATGCATATGTTTCTGGGAATTGGGGCTCTTATTCAGATCAAATGAATTGACCACTTTGTTTCTCTTCAAGTTGATATTAGTTATATCGGTTCCAAAAGTCCTTTTATTTGAACCACATGGAATTGGCTTGCCTGCACGACAATTCTCAACTTTACCTCTAAATCCTAACCACCTGAATGCAGGCTTTCTGGTATCAACGGTATGCGTCTGTCAATTGTAGGTTCAAAAGTTTAAAATATGTACTCATTTCTTTCACAAGTAGATTAGGAAGTGTGTTTTTATCAGAAAATAAAGAAATTTGGCCAAGGGGTTGAACTAGATCAGATCACTTTACCTTTTCAATAAGATGAATTGCAGCTAACACATTTGCAATATCGTAAAGGCGTCTGATTTTGCCTGCAAAGTTGAAGGTACAATAAGAAATTAGCTAACAATCTACCCTGTTGAAACAAAAAAATATTTCAAAATTCTCACCAGTAGAGGTTCATACTTCTCATTACGGATTCACTTTGTGTATCGCCTAGCAGTAATTTTGCAGCTTCATCGAGTGAAATCAGATGTGCCTGCATTTAGAGTTTCGAATTTACAGATTATTTCCACAAAAGAACAAACATAATCACTGAATTAAGAGTGTCATCTTGCCAGTTGACTCACGTTAGAACAGACAAAGAGCTTGACAAAATTCTGCGTAAGAAGTGCAAGAGATTTTTCCCTCCGGTTTTCTGACGCCACTAGAAAGAAGGAAAAGTGAAAAAAGAAAAACACATTTCGTAAGCGGTGCAAGCCCTCCGATTTTCTGATGCAATTTGAAAAAAAAAAATGAAGAGAAAAAGTGAAAAAGCAATTAAAAATTTCAAATTTTCAAAATTGGGAACAAAAATTGCAGTAATCATAAGAAAAATGTTGCCAAAAAGTGACTATCCTCAGTTCCAAATGATAGATGAATCGAATCGAAGTAAAGCTCTGCAGTGTACCACATCTCACTGAGGCTGAAGATTTAGACATCATAGGGATTGACTCATGGCTCACAGAAGTGAGATCTGAACATGTTTCATCTTCATCTATCAACTAATTCCCAAAAAAAAAAAGTTGTGATTATGAAATCCAAAACAAATTTAATAATAGTAAAAAGGACTGTTTTAGTGACAATTCGACCTACTCTTGAGTGATCATAGGAAGCTATGGCAGAGTTATTTCCCTTCATATCTTCTTCCTGTTACAGAGAGTAACAAAAAACCACGGCCATTAACAAAAGAAGACTTAAATATGAATCTTAACAAAACAATGCAGATACCTTAAGTTGCCGTAGTGCCTTTGGAATGCCAGAAAATCCAATCCAACTATATTGATTCTTGGCCTTTCTACAAAGAATCTGTAATCATACGAAAATTGCTAAAATAAAAACACAAAAAACGTGCATAGAAGAAAATAAACAAACAAACAAACAACAGCAACCAATTCCTTACTCCAACACTTTCTAAAACGTTGACAATGTCGTAGATCCGTCGCCTTTCAACACCTGCAAATGAAAGTCGCAAAAATTCTTGAATTCAGGCACCGGCCAACTACCAAAGTAAAATACAGGCAGTAAGAACATACGTACCTAGCCGAGAGGCGGCATTGTCGAGGCTGATTGAGTGAACATCACCTCGATCATACAACCTCAAAAAACTACAAGCCAGAAGATACATTAAGCGAGATGTATATGAATTAATCGATAAATTTGAAGGAAGAGAGACGAGCTCGAACTTGGAGCAGAGCAGACCGAGGGATTTCTGCTTCCGGCTATAAGCTTTCGAAGAAGAATCCGATAGTAGAAGATTCGCCATAGCTATACGATGGAATTGAAGAAGATTGGAGAAGAAGAGATTATATGCAGTTGAGAATGGGAGGGAATCATTTGAAACAGAAGATTTGAAGAACCGTTGAGAGAAGAGGGAGCGTGATTCAAAGCACAACAGGCGCGCTTTCGATTTTTCAAAATTACTAGTGCATGCTACGCTGAAATGACTGTTTTGTCCTTTGACTGTCAAACCTATTCAATTTTTTTAATAATATTTTAAAATTTTCTATTACGCATAATAAATCAATTAAAAATTCTAATTAATATCATAAAAGATTTAATTTGATAAGAGATTAACAAAATAATTTAAAAATTATATGAAAATTTAAAATTAGAGACTCCTATCATATTTTAATTTATAACTTTTAAAATCTTTTGCTTATTAAATTTTGTTAATTATATCCATAGTACTTTTATCTTTTAATTTGATTTAAATTAACGTGTTAATTATAATTAATTAATGACTTATATATAATTATCCAATACTTTTGTGCTCGATGATAAAGGTCTTACATCTGCTAATTTAGGAAATGATCATGTGTTTATAAACAAATAATACCCTTCCATTGTAATGAGACATTTTTAGATTTGAAAGCTTATGCTCGAAGTGGACAATATCGTACCATCATGAGAGTCAGAGTTGTGATTTCTAACATGGTATCAGATATATTATTTAATACTTTTCAACTCTAATTTAAATATATTTTTATAATTGAAACAAAATTTATTTTTATTTAAAATTTTGATGAATGAATTGAGAATAAAGAATCACCGCCGAGGTGCCGCCTGACGGTGTATCATTCTTTGGATTCTGCACCGCTGCATTGGGCGGCTTTCCCCTTTAGCTGCCGCCATTTTCGTTTACCCCTGCTTCTTCTGCTCTAATTTAATTGTTTTAAATTAAATAATACTAAATTATACTAAAAATGAAAATGAAAACTCGATTAAAAATATTAATATCATAAGAAATAAATAGTAGAGATCGTACGGACAATCTGCAGAGTGCTTTGATTCTGACTCTGCTTCGCCTCCTTCGCCCTCTGTTTTGACCGATCATGGCGACAATTGACAAGTGGCTATCTAATCTTCTCTGCCATCGGGATTTGGATTCGCTGTCTCTCTCTCAAATATCATGAAATCACAATAAACAAACCTTCTCCCACTATGATCTCGCTGAAATTTTGGATCCTCAGAATCTCTGCTTTTACTCCGCCCATTAATTAAACCAACCATTTCCCATTTCCTTATAAGATGACCCTATTTCTCTCCTCTTTCTCAGCAAACCCCTTTTCTCTTCTCTCTCTTTTCCGGCCATGGCGGTGGTTCCCGGCGAACTTATTGGGGTTTCTGATGATGATTTGAAACAGAGTGGTTTGGCCCAGATTCATGTTCTTGCTGTTGATGATAGCCTCGTTGATCGGAAGGTTATTGAACGGTTGCTGAAGATCTCGTCTTGTAAAGGTAAATAATGGGTTTGTTTTGAGAATTGATTTTGGATTGGACTGGTTTGAATTTGGGGTTTTTGCAGTGACTGCTGTTGAGAGTGGGAGAAGTGCTCTTCAATATCTGGGTTTGGATGGGGAAGCCAATTCTGTCCGGTTTAGTGTAAGCAATTTTAACTTGCTTGCTTATGATTTATATTATGCGTTTAATGGTGGTGGGGGGTTGGTTTCAGGATTTGAAGGTGAATCTCATCATCACAGATTATTCCATGCCGGAAATGAATGGATATGAACTGCTGAAGAAGATCAAGGTTGGTTGGTTGTTGTTGATTGATTGGGTTGTTTATATCAATGGGTGCTGATGAGAATTGATATGAACAGGAATCATCGGCTCTCCGGGAGATTCCTGTTGTGATAATGTCATCGGAGAATGTTTTGGGTCGAATAGAGAAGTATGAACTTCCCCTGTTTCTCTGTGTTCTTGTTTTGTTATTCAATGGAGGGATTTTAAGGTTTTGGTTGATAGTTGCTTGAAGGAAGGGGCTGAGGAGTTCATAGTGAAGCCTGTGAAATTGTCTGATGTGAAACGACTGAAAGACTACTTCACTATGGGAGGAGAAAATGGAGGGAAGAAGATAAGTCATAAGAGGAAGCTTCGTGTTGATGATCATGATCATGATCACCACTTCTTGACTCCTGGGTCTCCGCCGCCGCCGCCGCCGATGGTGGGTTTCGACCATTGCCAAGGGTATCTGCAACGAATCACATGTTCGTCGAAGAAACCAAGGTTCCTCAATGGCGACCAGTTCACGTAACCATGGAATTCAAGTTGTAAAAGTTATTTGTTACTCTTTTTTTTTTGTGTAAATGTTGATTATTTGGGAGCTTAGATTCCCCTTTTGCTGTTTCCCTTTTTTGGTTTGAAATAAGATTGTAATTTCTCTTTCCTATTGGGTATTGTCCGGCTTGTCCAGATTAAGTCTGAGCAAATATTGTTCTATTACTATTAGACATATGACAATTTACATCTTTCCTATCATTTTTTGGATGTTGACGTAACCATTCAAGTACACTACCGGTAGATACTGTCCAGTTTTGCTCAACTTTAATGTCATTTTTAAGATGGTGACTTAATAGTCCAAGTACACTGGTATTAGATATTGTTTGGTTTGGTTTCGTTCTCCTCTTCAACAAACGTGAGATCTCACAATCCATCTGTTTAAGGCATGTCGTCCTCATTTTGGTTTTGATGTCATTTGTAACAGTTTGAGCCCACTACTAACTGACAATTTTGCTTTCGATGTTTCTCTCTCCTACTTCCAATAACGCTATCAGTCTCAAGTCTTTCATTGTTATTATTCTCTTCTAAGTCACATGTGTGAGAAATAAGGTGGAAAGTTCGTGGATGTTTAATCGATTCCTTTACAAGCCGCCCAATCCAAAACTACTTTTTGCGATACAAAAACGACAAGCAGTAAACGGGAAATCCCAAAATTTATCTTATATTCCCAACCCGAAGTCCAACACTAGAGTCTTCGTCAACCTGAGCAGAGCAGAGAGGAGAGCATCATCGGAGCTGCAGAAAATGGTTCACTCGAGGCTGGAAGACGCCACTGGTTTAAAGGAAGAGCTCATCGGAAACGCCTGGTCGGCCGCCGTTAAAGCTCACAAGCATGCTGATAAGCCCTTTCTCCTTGATAAAACCCGAGATTTCTCCATCATCAGCTTCGCTGGATCTTGGTCACCGGAAGCTTGGTTCTCTGCTTCCGATTCATCTTTCGGGGAGACAAAGATCGACCGTCAGCTGTTCCCCTCCGTCAGGAGCATCGGGCTCGATGAATACGCCGAGGTCAATTCCGCATTTTTCCGGCGATTTGAGGCCATTTTGGGGAAGCTCAAGGACGTACGTTACTTTTCCCAGAATTTCCCCCAATTTATTCCTTTTCCTGTTCTTCCGTTTTATGTATTCTTCGCTTCTTTTTAACTGTTGAAACTCGGATTCTGTTTATCAGGTTCTCAAAGCGAACAAGCCTGTAGTGTTTACCGGCCACTCAGCCGGAGGTCCAGTAGCCATTCTTGCAACCATTTGGCTGTTAGAACAGCAAAGAAACTCAAACACAAACTTCACTCCTCCAAAATGCATCACATTTGGATCGCCCCTTGTGGGTAACTTCATTTTCTCCCACGCTCTCAAAAGGGAGAAATGGTCCATCCATTTCGTACACTTCGTCACAAGATATGACATCGTTCCACGAATCCATCTAGCTCCTCTACCTTCCTTGCAACCACATCTGCAAACCATCCTCACCTCCCTGAACTCACGATCGCTCGGGTCGGCGTCGAATGGGAATGTAGCTACCGAATTCTTCATGACAGTGATGAGGAATGCGTCGGCTGTGGCAAGCAATGCTGCCTGCCATCTTATGGGAAACACTAACCTTTTGCTAGACACTTTGAAAAGCTTTGTGAAATTGAGTCCTTATAGCCCTTTTGGCACTTACATTTTCTTTACTGACAGTGAGAAAGTGGTGGTGGTGACCAACCCAGATGCTGTTTTACAAATACTATTCTTCGCTTGTCAGTTGAGCTCTGAGAGCGAATGTGATAACATCGCTCATCAGAGTTTGAAGGCCCATTGGGAGTATGAATCTAAAATGCGACAGAACTTGGAGCTCCTGCACGCTATTCGTCTAGATGAATTGGATAAGCTCCCGTTGTCCTTAACAGGCAGAAACACACCGATAACACAAGCTTTGAATGAACTTGGCCTAGTAAGTTCTCTAATCTCCTCTATATCTATCTATCTATCTCTCACATGGGTGATCGAAAGTGAATTCTAAGTTTCAACTGTGAAATTACAGAGTTCGAGAGCTTTATTGAATCTTCGAGCAGCTGGGTCGTACGAAGAGCAGAAAATCAAGAATCAAGAAAGGATGAGTGTAAAGAAACAAGATATCGAGAAACTATTGAATCGGCTAGAAGAAAATTACAGAGATGTATGTAAGGTTGACGGTTTGGGATATTATGATGCATTTAAACTCCAGAAGGATCCGAAAGACTTCCAAGCTAATATCAAGAGGCTTGAGCAAGCAGGTATATGGGACGAGATCGTAGAAATGCTCAAAAGATACGAGCTCCCGGATGAATTTGAGGGCCAGGACGAATGGATACAAATCGGAACCAGGTTTCGCTGTCTCTATGAGCCTCTAGATATTGCTAACTACTATAGACACTCCAAGAATGATGACACTGGTCCTTATATGATAAAGGGAAGGCCGAAACGTTACAGATTTACACAAAGATGGCTCGAACATAATCAAAAGATGACGGAGCCGAGTGAAGTATCGACTCTTTGGGCAGAGGTAGAGGAGCTTCGTATCCAAACCAGAACCAAACTGTACGCAGAATGTTCAAGAGAAATCTTAGAGTTGGAGAAGAAGATGAAGAGATGGCTCAATGAGATTGAAAATGATATGTTGTTAAAGAAATCTACTTTCATGGAGTGGTGGAAGACACTTCCTGAGCATCATAGATCACAGTCTTGTATTAGGGACGATATCGAGAGGATGGCGAATACGGAGGATGCTACTAACTCGATGTAGACCGACCTTAATGAGGGCATTGTACTTAAAACAATAATGTTCCAACCGGATCCTTTCTGTTTGTATGAATAATTAGAAACTTATTCTAAAAAATGTGCTAATATTGTACTAAACTTTTTAATGAATATGTTAAGGAACAATTTCGACACCAATTTTATACTTACGGCGGGGCTTTCAAGAAGATAAGAACTAACCTTGTATTCTCCGACAGAAACTGCCGACCACCTGGGCTGAGGAGCAGAGGCCTTGTTCGTGGAGACAAATGCCGTTTAGCCCTCTAGAAGATATTGGGATAATTAGAAATCAATTTTAAGTTGAACATAAACCTTATATAGACACAGCATGAAAATTATATTATAGAAAGGAAAAATGAGCCATCAGAGTTAACCATTTGGAACAGCAAAGCCTAGCTAGCTAATAAAACCCAGCAATTGGAACAGCTTATGTAACAACTCAAGCCACATATTGTCTCTTTGAGCAAACTCTTTAAAACGTGTCGGCTAGAAAGAGATTTTCACATTGCTTCGCTCTCCTCCCCCACCGCTTACCCTAGAAAACAGCCCGTCAACAATCAACTCATCCAAGGAGACTTACCGCTGCATAGCTGTCTTTTCAAGTCTGGATCATAGTTTCCTACACCATAACTGAAGGTATTGCAAATATTTCCACACTTCATTTTATGCTATAGAACTCCAAGGAAGTAATCAAGTATGGCACTAAATCTCTCATAAGATGAACAAGAATGAGGAGGAAGGTGACGACAAATAGAACAGTTTCAGCATTCCTATGAAATATATGCAAATACAAATAAATAAGAAGTGAAGAAAAACAAACAAACGTTGTATCATTATTCCATGTATTTATTTCTATACCATCTCGTCTATTCACATATCAAGTACGAATTAAGTCCTCTACATTGGCAAATGTACCACAAGATAAGAACCACACTCATGTAGGAAATTCAGTTTAAAGGTTCTCAATCTCATAACCATACTTCAACACCCAAATGCCACTTTCTATTACTATGAAAATCAGAGCCCAAGACTACTATAGTACCCAAGAGACGCAGGACAGAAAAATAAAAGAAAAGAAAAGTGGAGCAGACGTACATTAACAACTCACAGAAACTGAACACTACCTAAGACCTTGAAATCATGCTACAAGAACGAGCCAATGGGAACGTCGGGCTGCCACTGTATTCGTTTGTCTCGTTATCCGCAGGATCACGATCATATGGCTTCCTGCAACCAGGACAACGCCCATCCTCTTCAAGAATCCTCTTGTGACAGAAAAGGCATAGCCGGAATCCACAGGGACAAGGTAAAAAGTTGGAGTCTGTAAGGTCCAAGTCTTCAAAGCAAATTGGACAAGATGTAGGCACAGGCATAACACCACCACAAGCCCAAGGGATGCCTCCACATCCAAAACGCCGATCTGTATTCGGTAAACTAAGCTGTTTTGATAACGTGGGCAAACTCTGGGGACGATCGGCATCATCAGGCCTCCATGCTCGGCCATTCATTGAAGCCCTCCGCACAATTCTCCCATGCTCAATGCTCGAGTCACCATCTCCTACGCCCAACTCATTTCTGCTGTCTACGCAAGAACCCAATTGAGAAACAACATCGCCCCTAGGGGAAGACTCGGAGCATTGATCATGCTGCTTGTCAGTGGCGATTAGGGTATCGGCAAAAGCCTCCCAATCTTCCAAGCAGTCATCATCTCCTTCATCTTCCTCCTCCTCCGTTATACTCCCCGAGCGACACCCACTAGAACTGCTGCGGCAGCTACTGCTACTGCTACTCCCAGTAAAATGGTGACCCGAATCATTACCACCCAAGATACTACTTCCAATACTAGGGGGGCTATTGGACGGCGACTCCGAACAATCGCTGTGATGGTGGACCGATCTGTCGTCCTCTTCTCCTATGTCCCTCCTATTTATTTTTTTCGAGGGAAGTTTATCATCTTCCACCGTTTTGACGACCTCTGAATCAAGCCGATTGTCTTCTTTGCTCCATTTTTTGTTCTTTATCGCACCTATCACTCGTGAACCCAAATCGATTAAATACAAATTATCGCATGCATGAAGTCGGTTCCATAAATATATTCAATTAACAACAAATTGAAACATAATTAGTGGTTATACCTCGAGAAAGCCATTGCTCGCGACGAACGTCAAGCTTGGACTGCTTCAATTTGGAGTTCCTAGCCTGAAATCCCCAGCCGAAACAATTACGACCAAATTAGGGGGAAAATTCAGTAATCATCAAAGAAAAAAAAATAACAATAAAACTCTCCGGCATTAAAATTAAGAGAAAAAAAATGAGAAGATTTACGTTTGAACAAAAAGAGAGAGAGAGTCCTCACCCTCCTCTTCTTGGACAGGGGCAAATCCCGGGCGTTAGGGGCCAAAGAAATTGAAGCATTAGCGATCGAATCAGTAACCATGATGGGAGAGTTGAAATCGAATTGAAGGAACCAAGTTCGCAAGGAAACCCTAATTTGTGTGGATATTTTTATTTTCCGGGAGAGAGAAGATCTTCGAGGGGGAGAGAAAGAGAGAGAGAAAAAAAATGGATAACGGAAACTCCTCTGCTTCGCTCGCTCTTTTCCACAGAATAAGCAAAAAACAGAGGGCCGAGATTTCATTTAAATATCGTCCAAGTTACCAAAATATCCCTCTCATTTCCAAAATTTCCGGCCATACCCAGCCATGGCCCTTTCAGAATGGCTTTAGAATAAGGGGTCTTTTAATCGGGCGTGGCAATTGGCATCGTGCATCCGTGTACTGCCTGAGCCCAAAGAGATGAACAAAACGGTGTCGTTTGTTGAGTCTAATATGTTGGGCCATTCAATGGGCCGGAGGAGTTCGGCCTAACAACCCCGGCCCCTTTAGTTGGTTGTAATTCGGCCGGTGCCCATACATACAGCATTTAAAAGTCAAGTATTCCTTTTTGTTTTATTGGGAATTTCTTTTAATTTTTTTTTTCATGTAGCATATATTTGTCAACGCAAGTGAATATTTATTATTCCTAAAAGGGTAGGTTAGGGCAAAAGTAAATTTGGGTTGGGTTTGACCAATATATTAATATTCTATAACAGTAGATAATATCTGCTAGGGGTGGACTTCCGCTATTACAAATTGTATCAAAGCCAGGCAAGGCTGTATGCCAATGAGAACGTTGGATTTCCAAGGGAGATAGACTATGAGATCCCACCTCAATAGAAGAGTGGAACTAAGCATATGTGGAAATCTCTCCCTATTAAGCGGGTTTTGAAAAATATTGAGAAGAAGTATAATAGAGAAAGCCTAACAAAGACAATATCGGGTAGCCATGAGATTTGGGCTTGGACTTGAACCGTTACAACTACAATATTTACTATATCTCATTCATGGTTATGGACTCGAAGATATTGAGAAAATAGAGAACTAAAATATTTGATATTGAGAAATATTCTATATATAAATAATGTGGGGATAATCATGAAAAATTGTTCCTATTTGATTTTTGTTTTTTATTTTTACATTTACAAAGACCATGTTTTTTAAAATTATTTCTTATATTTCCCCGGTTTTGGAATTATATAATTCATTTTTTACTTCGCATTGCATTTTTGGAATATGAGAGGAAAAATGAAAAAATAAATTATAAAAAAAAAAGGAGGGAGAGAAAATTTGGTCAATTAATAAAAAAATAAAACTCTTATATTTTATTTTAAAAATAAATTAATGGACAACGGTACACCTGGAAGCTAAAACGTGGAGCCCTCCACGTGGCGAGGTGGGCCTAAAATTCTGGTAACCTGACGAATTTCGGAAACAAATTCTATCAAAATCCCATACTCATGTTACTCCAATTATATATATAAATATATATATACATTACTTGTCCAATTAATAGATTTTGAAGCATAACCAATTGGAAATATTATTTTGGATTATAAATTTCGCATTATATTTTAAATTCTGTTAATATGAATTGATATTCGTAATCTTAGTATTTTTTAACCCGTTATAATTTTCATATCAAAATTTTTATATTTATCATTCAATTAATACGTGTAAGGTCAAGTCATAAACATCCCTTTAGTTTGGAAGATTGTGCTCCATGGAGACCCATTCCAAATAGGGTAGAGATTCCTTGTTTAAACAAGAGGGAGGGAGTGGAGAGAGATTTCTCCAATCAGACAAATGGGGTCAGGGACAAAGATTATATTCTCTGTTTTTTGTCCCCACCCAATTACTCGACCCCAGACAAGGTCAAGAAAAAAAACTCATTTAGACTAAAAATATTGAATATAAATTTGTGTGATAATTAGGTAGGATTAAATAGTGAAAAATGTTGGCAATAAATTAGGAAATTAATAAATTGAAAGTAGAGGGAAATAAGGTGAGCTACAACTTTCTTGGTTGGATGTAGTCTCATATTCACACTAATAAAAGCTTGTCCCTCAACTCTTACCCACATTTTCCTCAATTTCATTACCTTAATTATATTATAATCTTTATGATTGAATTAAGTTAATAATTTAAATGTTTAATCTCTAGAAAGTACTTTGAATTAATGGATTTGGCTTATTTATTTTAATCTTTATTTTTTAAAAGGTGAAATTTTATACACTTACTAATTTTAAGATATTATTAAATTATATTATTATAAATTTGAAAGTATATAAATTAAATCATTATATTATAAAGTTTTCAAATTAAAGTGAAAAATAAAATATCGGGAGAAAAAGTATTTTAATCTTTAAAAGAAAATAGTTAAACAATAAATTAAAAAATAAAAAAGTAAGATAGAAAATGATATTCAAACTCTTTTGGGCATTCAACCGACAAAGAAGACTATATGAGAAGGCTGTCGAATTAATATAATTCCAATTTTGGCCTCGATTATTATTTTTTAATTATGTACCTATCATTAAAAACACGATGTAACATTATTTGTCATTATTAATCATCTCTACCTTTTGAATTTTATTCCAGTTTCTCTATTTTCAATAAATTTTAAATTAATTTATATGGGTTAATATAGTCTTTTCTTATTTGAAAATAGTAATAATTATGTAATTAATTTTAATAAATTTAAGATATAATGAATTTATAAAACTATAAAAATTGAAACTAACAAAAAAAAAAAGTGGAGTTATTAAATTTTTTTTAATTTTTTTTTAATTTTTATAGTTTAAATATGGAGATGAGATTGAAAAACATTTGTTGTGGTACCAACCTCAAAATCATTTAAAGGAAGGGAAGGGAAAAACAAATGAAGTATTTTCTCACCTACCAAATCACTCATTCTCACCTCCCTACCAACAAGACGGAGCACGTGTAGATTCTCGTAGTCAATAAAAAAAATTAAATTAAATTTAACCTACGACAAAATTGTAACAATTTTATTTTTTAACGTAGAGTTTATAAAAAAAAATGATATCTAATCAATTTATTAATCTACGTTTGTAAAATATAGAAACTAAATTATTATTTATTAAATCGCATGACTTTCACGATCTATAGCTTTAGTATCTAAAAAAGGTCTATTATTTAAAAGAGACCTGCTACGTTGAAATTATATAATTAGAGAAGGAGAATTTTGATATATATTTTTTAATTTTATTATTATTTTCTTGTACTTTTTAGGATGATAGTGAAAGGCAAACCAAAATGAGAGATGGGTGGAGTCAATTGGGAGTAAGAAATGGAAAGCAAAAAATTCCCAAAAACCCGAATGGCATTTTCGTAATTTGCAGTTCATTAATTTAATTAACCCATTAATTTTATGCTTTCTTTAAGTTTCATTAATAGGTTAACTCCTTTCATTTTAGCTTAAACTGCAAATCTCCATACTAATTAATTCAATAAATTAATATGTTTTAACGTAATTGAAATTATATATTATTATTATATTTTTATTCGACAAAATATTTAAAAATGAAAATTTTAAACCTATACATATTATATTTGGAAGCCTTGTTTTTAAAGCTTATGTTATATTTTATGTAAATAATAATTAAAAAAAAACTATATAAGTTTGAGATTTTATGGTGACAAAAGCTATCATACTTAAAATATAAAAAGAAATATTATTTAGTTGAGTCATTTCATTCTCAAAAGGAAACAAAAGATAGCCTTTTAGTTTTATTAGTTTATTATATATAAGTAATGGAAATCCAATTTGTATGAGATTTTTGTCCAATTTAAATTAATGTTTAATTTCTAATCCAAATAATATATTTAGCATTTTTTACTTTTACTTTTACGGAAAAAGATTATACACTACAAGAGAAAGGTTTCTTACACCCTTACAAAAGGTGATTTGTTCTCCTCCCCAACCAATGTGGGACATCATAATCCACCGACTTTTGGGGCCCAGCGTCCTCGCTAGCACTCTTTCTTTCATCTAATTGATGTGGGACCACTCCCAAATCCACCCTCCTTTGGGGCCAGCGTCCTTACTAGCACACTGTCTCGTGTCTACCCCCTTCGAGAAATAGTAAGAAAACTGGCAAATCATCTAGTGTCTGGTTCTGATACTATTTGAAATGCCCCAAATCCATCGCTAGCAGAAATAATGAAAACCATGCCAAATGTTCGGTATCTGGATCTGAGGCGTTAAAAAAAAAATCATATATATATATATATATATATATATATATATATTATTTGTGTAGATATTATAAACGTCAAAATTTTAAATTCACATGAAAAAAAATAATAAATTTTTATTAGAAGTTATGAACTAAATAAAAATTTTAAAACCAAATAAATACAGATTGGATTTGTAATTTAATGAATTTTTTTAATAATAAAAAACAATAATGAAATGATATTAATATTATTGTATTGGCCGTATAATAAGGTATGATTAAAGATAGATTGAATGTATTTGAAATAATTGATATAAATAATACAAAATAATTGTTATTTGGTTGAATTAAGTATTTATTTAATTATTTCAAATGAAAATTTAATACGCACAAGACTATATAAATACTAGGCCGAAAAATTATGGATGAAGCAAACAGTGAAATGATTAAAGTTGGTTGGTCGTCGCCAGCGGGTGATGCAAAGGGCCAATTGTTGGGTGACACGCGTCCTTAAAAATTATGGTCATTTAAAGTTTTTCCCTTTTATTTTACAGGTCTTCACATGTTCCCCGCACCCCGAATTTACTTATTTTTTTACCTTTATTTATTTATTTATTACTAATTTCTTACCTTTATTTATTTATTTATTTTAGTGCAAAAAGAAAAGGAAGGTTGGGAGAGAAATAAATGTTGATATGAGGGGGACCAGCGTATAAGCGATGATTAATTTTATGTATTTATTTATATGAGATCTATAAATTTTATTTTCATCACCGGCATAATCTCCCTCACAGTTCTCAACAGTTTAAAACACTGAACCAGTTTTCTCCCATCTTCTTCCCTATCTCGCCGCGGGAAAACTCTGTACTGGTTGTTCGATTTCCTTCCGGCAATGTTGCCGTCGCCGCCTGAGGTCTGACTCTGCCTCCGACTACAGTTCTTCTTGCCATGGCTCTCTCTGCCTCTGCGCCGCAGAGCCTGAAGCTTCGGATTCTCTCGTGCCTCACCAAGCTCTCCGACCGAGATACCTACTCCCTTGCTGCATCCGACCTTGAATCTATTGCTCAGAGTCTTGACGCGAATTCCTTACCGGTTTTCCTTTCATGTATATACTCCACTGATGCTTCGGATAAATCGCTGGTGAGGAAGCAATGCATTCGCCTCTTTGCTGTTCTGTCAGAGACTCATGGAAATTCTCTTTCTCCATACCTCTCGAAGATTCTTTCCAATATCACACGCCGGTTCCGCGATCCTGATTCGTCGGTTCGATCCGCGTGTGTTAACTCTGTAGCGACATTAGCTTCCAGTGTTACCAAATCGCCGTTTTCGACGTTTTTGAAGCCTTTAACTGATTCGCTTTTCACGGAGCAAGATTCTAATTCGCAGATCGGAGCGGCTCTGTGTTTGGCTTCGGCAATTGATTCTGCACCGGATCCGGATCCGGTTAAGCTCGGCAAGCTTTTGCCGAGGTTCGAGAAGCTTTTGAAATGCAATAGTTTCAAAGCAAAGCCGGCTCTCTTGACATTGATCGGGAGTGTTATTGGAGTTGACGGAGCTTTCGGTAATGGAGCTCTGAAAAATTTTGTCCCGTGCTTGGTTGCATTCCTTAGCAGTGAGGATTGGGCGGCGAGAAAATCTGCCGCGGAGGCGCTCGGTAAGCTAGCAGTCTTGGAGAGGGATGCTCTGGCGGAGTTCAAGGCTGGTTGCTTGAAAACGTTCGAGAGTAGGCGATTCGATAAGGTTTCAGTTTTTAATGGTTTTAAGAATATAATATATGAATCGATTTCCGATATTTGACATTGTTTTTCTAACCATTGTGTTATAGGTTAAGGCTGTACGGGAGGTAATGAATCAGATGCTCGAGGCATGGAAGCAGATTCCTGATCTCTCGGATGAGGCGTCTGCGCCAGCTTATTCCCAAGCTTCCTCGAAAGGTTGCATGTTTTGTCATTATATTCAGTGAATGTTTTGCTAATTTCCTGCTTATCTGGTGAAATTGTTGACAGCCTTGTGATCTCTTCCATTTTGGTATTTTATTCTGTTTTAGAAATCGCAAGTGATGGACGTTATCCACCTGGATCCAAGAATAATTCTTCTGCTCGTCTTGACTCTCCTACCCCGAGGAAGAACGCCAGCTCAGTTTGCAGGTCTACTCCGCCAGATGCCTCACCTGCGATGGCAGCGAGAAGGAGAAGCCCTTTGAGCGCTGGTGACAAGAAAGCTAGTTTGTCAATGCTCCAAAAGGTTGAGCGTAAAAAGCGTCTGGACTGGAAAGTAGAAGTCTCTGCTAGGAAATCTCCCTCAGGAGAACTGAAGGAAAGAGATGAAAACATTCCGGATAGAAGGATTAGTGAAAACACCAAGATTACGAAACCAGAAACAAGACGAGCACTCTTCAATAAGATTTCTGACGATAAGATGATTAAATTCGGTGGGCTCAGGTCTGGATCTCGCGTAGTTCCTTGTCCGGATGAGGGCCATGAGTCGACTGTTGTAGCAAGTAATGCAACCGACGATCTGCACAGGAACCACAAAGACTCTGAAGAATTGCATTTGATCCGTAACCAACTTAATCAAATAGAAAAGCAGCAATCCAGTCTTCTAGATATCCTCCAGGTTGGTACCAAATCAAACTGCACTTAGTCTGGAAGTTGAATTTATTTTCATTTCTTCATGCTTGATTCATGTCCTCAGTTAAGTTGATAAATCTTCAGAGGCAAATGCATGCTTCAATATTATAGATCGCTCCTAGGAAATTGGAACCATTAGAATACTGGAATATACAAATACACTCTAGTACACTTCCTATAATCAGATTGGCATTTAGTCTGTGCAACAAAATCTTCTAGCGACATAGTCTGCAACAAGCACGTAGAACATGGAATCCAAATGAAATCTTCTAGCGACATAGTACATGGATAGAACAAGGTTGTTCCATTATGAGGTATGTGAACTCTAGAGTACATACACGATCCAGTCTTCCAAGATGGTTTGACCTCATCCTGCCACCGAAGCTTTAGAGATAAATCATAATTTCGACTACTATTATTTCAGCTGCTTGTCTCAGTTTATAAATCACTACAATTTCCTGCCAGTCAACGCATATCGCAGAAAGTATTTATTTATTTTATTGAATTACAAATTACTGTCCCTCTTCAAAATTGCGTTGTCTGTTACTGTTAGCGCTTGATTATTTGCAATGTTCAATATACTGATCACTCGTTGCAATAGTCTTCAAATTTTACTATCTCACCTGTGTTTTTGTCTTATCTACCATTTAGAACTTCATTGGGAGTTCACAAAACGGAATGCGATCCTTGGAGACGCGTGTGCATGGTCTGGAACGGGCATTGGATGAGATCTCATATGATCTTGCTGTATCAAGTGGAAGGATGTCTTATGCTAACACCCCCACAACCACATGTTGCATGCTACCTGGAGCTGATTTTTTGAGCTCAAGGTTCTGGAAAAGAGCAGAGGGCAGACACTCATCGTCAAAGTTCTCAACTCCCATTGGTGCAACTCCATTGGCTCCAATGCGCAGCAGATCAGGTGATCGCCATGGAGCTAATGTGGATGCTGGATTTATGACTCCAGAGAACCATAGGTTTCAGGTCCAGCGAAGGGGTGGCTTTATGGTGAATCCATTGGCTTTGAGACAAGGTGAACCCAGGGTTGTCTCAAATGCGGCACTTCCTTGAGCAACTGGATCAGAAGGCACTAAAGAGTAATTTCTGAACTTAATTTGCTCGCTCTTTTCCATCTTTTCTTTCCTTCCCACATCATGTGTAGCTCCTTTACCATGGCTGCTTGCCACTTGTGCGAGATGGCCGGATCTAGTATTTACTAAACTTCAAACCATTTTTACTCTTTTTTGTTACAGGCGTACGGCTATGGATTTTCTCATGCCTTTGCCATGGGAATCTAAAGCATTCCTTTGGAACTCTCAAATGATGCAGAAAGCAACTACCATGATTTATGTTGTCGAGGTAATGAATTCCGTTTTGGATTTAAAATATTCTCTGGTATGTCTAAACCAAGTGATCTGAAAAATTTCAGTGAGAAGTCCTAAAAAATTTGAGTGAGCTGTCAAGTTAAGTTTATCCTTTTTCCTTTATTACCTTTTTTTTGGAATTTGATTGAAATTGGAAAAAAAAAAAAAAAAAAGAGTATATTACCGAAATGCCAAATATCCTAATATAGAGAGGGTGATTATTGATATGTACATAGGAACCAGAAGACAAGGCCTTTTCACTTCCCTTTACACTTACTCTCCGGGGGGTGACGAGGTCTCTTCAATTGGTTGAAACATTTCTTGAAGTGAAAAAGAGTACAAATATCTGGTTGATGATTATGATGTTTTTCTATAATTTTTAGCCTTTTATACATTCATTGAAAATTTTATATTACAGTATAATGGTGGAGTAATTCGAGAGCTATAAAGAAAAAGGTAATAGCAAATGTCATAATGCATTTAATCATTTTGATCATTTTAGATTTATTTCTCTCAACTTCTAATCAAGACCCTATGGATTACGATTTCTTCAAATTTGTATTTGCATACATGCTTATATTTAGTCGCAAATTCCGCCCTCTAATTTTATAGATTCACATGATAGTATAGTACACGTTACATAGATTCATTCACATTTCAAAATTTGAGTTTGAAGTCTTCGGCGCTTGTCGTGTCACATCAAACTGATCTGAAAAGATGAGAGGATGTACTGCTTTTCCCATTTCCAGATATCATTCGAAATCTTAACCCCAAGTAATATCAGCCGTTAGATGCCAGTGAAAATTACAATTATTAGATATCTAACCTTTTTAATTATTACCTACAGTTGTAACGCTTATATTCAAACACAGCATATAAATTTCTAATTATTAAACTAGAATACTAATATGTCAGACGGTAAATGGTTACTCTAGTAATGCTGGAATACAATTAAAGTTAGTTATGTTTGAAGTCTCTATTTTTTAGTGTTCAAAAAATATGGTTGAGTGGAAAAACAATATTTGTAAACAATTAAAAATTAATCCAAAAAACTCTTAAAGGATGGTTTCACCCACAAACATGTCTCATATCCATCCATTAATGGCACACATATTCAGGTCTTCATTTAAAACCAACCTAAAAAAAGTTGGGATGGGTTTCCTCCCCCATCCTTATCCAGTTATGTACCGTACCGCACTACCAACAATCTGGCCTAGAACTAGCTGTCAGAAAGTTCTTAAATGATTTCTTTCACATTCGCGAACAATATGCGATTCCTTCACAAGTTTCATTTCCCCCCACCAAAGTTTTCCCTTTCGGTTCGCATTCGCCCCCCCACATTAAATAACCCTTTTCAACAAGTAGCCTATACAATACAATCTATGGCGTTGAGGATTTGATTACAATTCTGTTTGGCCCTAAATTTCAAAATATGCTGGTAGTAGTTACGTTTCGGAGCTTGGAGAAATGGTTTAATATAAAGGTTTTTGGGGAGAATGAAAAATAGCAAGAGAAAGATTTTTTTTTTTTTTTGAGAGAGGAAAAAGGAGGGAAAATCCACACAAGATATAAATAATATAAAATTATTAAATTTTAACCCAAAATTTGAAGGAACATGAAATGTAACATACCATTTTACCTTGGTTCAAATCATTTCTTCCCCATTATCGCATACAGTGACTTCGTCAATACATTGCTATTCTGTCATGATACGCAATGCTCCCAATTCATAAACATTTCAGCAATATAATAGGAAGGCAGTTGCATAGGGATAAGGCCTCACACCTCAGGTTCATACGTAGGTTTTTAACTAACATACGCTATATTAAAGAAACCTACTGCAAAAAAACAAGAAACCAATCTTCATATTCAGATCCTACAGCTCAGCCACATGATCGACATTTTTAGATCCATAACATTTCAGAAAAAATTATATTGTTTCTTCACCTTCAAGTTGAACTATTCAATTTAAAGTATGCAACTTATCAATCAAAATTTTACATTACGCTACAATAATATCCTAACCATTTCCAATTCAAATAAAAAAAAAACAAGTCATAGAAAATTTAAGTAACTATAAGTCTATAAATTCATCTAATCGCAAGTCAGGGTTAAAAATGAGATGTCAGAAAGCAAAAAAGTAAAGTTTCCATGACGCATGATTAAAGGTAAAAACTACTTACCACCATTTCTGTAACAACAGAGCAGCAATGATCCGTGAAATAAAAGAACACAAGGCAATTGCAGAGGCATGCTCTACGGACAATATTTTGAAGGCCTTGTGGTCTGCCACTAACATTGCCGCCAAACGGGGGAAAGATGCTCACTTTAGGCTGAAAAGTTCGACCACTCATAAAATATTATTACCTTTCTTAAGTTTCATCTTTCGTGATGTTCTATGAAAAGATTCTATTCTAACACATGAAAGTAATATTTTTAAATGCACTAATTTCATACTTGTTAAGGAATTAAAACTTGTAAATGTATTTTTCACAATATAGTCAAGTGTTATGAAAAAATGAAGAGTACTATTAATAATTAGTTAAAAGAAACTTTCACTAATTTAAAAGAACTGTCAAATACACTCTAATTCTAACCTGTGATCTTGCACTCTTATCTTCTTACTTGCACAAAGGCGTCAAATCTGAAACTAAAGAAAAATTCCCAAAACTTTACCAATTTCTTAACACAAGAAAACTACACTTTTGACAGCTAAAAAGCTTTATCGGGCAGTTTATATCTTCAATTCTTTAAAGAGGGACACAATGAGGGAAAAGGCAGAGAGACGTTAAAGAAAAGTTAACCAAAAGGCTGAGATGAAAAAAATAAAGAAAAGTTTAGATAAAAAAAAGGATAATTAGTTTCTTCCCCCATAAGGGATTTACAAAAAAAAAAAAGTCATCCAAATTAGAGTTAATCACAAAGTGGAGATTTAGTCACAGGAACAATTGAAAAGGGAATAGGAAAACTAGGAGGAACATTGAAATGTTGCCAATTTATAGAATCTATCCCTATCACGGTAAATCAAATAATTTCTTTCAAGCCATTAACTCCTAGTAATTGCTCTGAGGGCATTCCTCCGTATAATCTCTGTCTTTCATTTGAAGTTGGTTCCACACAGAAGCAACATCAAACTATCCTCAACAGAGAAATAAAGAGCCCAAGATAAGTCAACAGAAAGGAAAAAGAGATTTCCTATGCTGAAGGAGGAGAAGAAACTAGTAAATGGCTTTGTGTTTCTCTACTTTCCTATATAGAGAAGCACCACTTGATTGTAAGGCCATTAATGGACAACTTCCTTATAGTCCCTCCATTGTGTAGCCGTTCAAGAGTCAATAAACATTGCCCAATAGAAAACTTTAACATTTTTCAGCACTCCCAACTTTCCAAATTGAGAGTGCTAGATTTGGGAGGAGCAAGGCAATGGTAGCTGTTAATCTTGAGAAAAGTAAATTAATAAAAGATAACCTCCTCATATCACCTTGGACCATAGCCTTTAACAGCTCCAATATGCAGCAAAATTCCTTAATCTCCAACTTCCTCAAATTCCTCCTGTTCAAATTTTCTGGGATATAGCAGTTTTCTCCTAGAACTAAGTAATCGTAGCCTCCGATTAGAGTTCTACAGCGGAACTAAGTAATGTCTGCATTGAACCTCTGCTACTAAAACCACCTATGATTTTTTCCAGGAAAGATTTATTAATGCATTTATCAAGTCTGACAGAAGAAATATCTTCAACTAGACCTTTGGTTTTCGAAAATTTCCACCAAGGGCAATGACTGCTTCCTTTCTTCGGTTCTCTTGTTGTCCACTACCTCTCTTTCCCATACAAGCATGAGAATACGAGATGACTTGAAACCACCTATAAATAAAAGCTAAGCATCTTTTTTTTTTAAACTCACTCCAGTTGACTATATATGGGTAGCCATTCTCACTATCTCACCACCCTCCAAGAGAAGTCCTCTTTTTCCTTTCCAATATAAGTCCACACGCTCATCGGAATTGGAAGATAGACATAAAGAAGGTAAGCAAGCTATCGAATACGAAGTTTGAAAGTTTCAACCCTCATTTGACGGATAATTTAGCAATGCGATTGGAAGGGTGGTCTCTTTGCGGATTCAAAAACTTGGGGGGCGGGAGGAAGAAAAGCTCTTATCTAATGATAGAAAAGGGAGAAGCAGCTACATGTAGCTACAATTATTGAATACAGTTACCTTCAAGATTTAAACACGATTAAAAGACCATTTAGAATTCACTACGACACTATAAATTCACAACCTGGAGTTTCTAATTCCCAAGTGTTGCATGTTTCTAATTAAGCAAAATCCAACTTTGGAGCGTGTCCACCAAGTTTTGTCCCAAAAAATTGAACTGAATGCTGACTTAGCAAATTGATTGCCCAATATGATGATGGATCAAAATAATCCGACGAGGTGAACAAATTTAAGAAAAGGTCCGAACGTAGCCAAATTATCAGATGAGCAACAGATTTTTTACTCGAGAGTGTCTTGAGATAATTTGACTAGAGACTCAAAGTAAAAACAAAATGGTCTGTAAGGCTCACAAGTTTCATGGTGCTGATAATGGACAGTTCATTCCATTCGTGGCACCCAATTAGGAAGAGCATATTTCCAGCTCAGTATTCAAGTGGTTTCCATCGAGTTTCATATTATATTAATAACTCAATCTATAGCTTTGAGGTAATAAATTGTAGTGGCGCAATAAATTTTCAAAAACGATAAATAACCAACCTGATGTGCAAATGTGCTGGTTGCCGACTATCTTTAGATAATTCAACCATGAAGCTTCAATTCTAAGTCTCTACAAAACCATTCCTTTGCTCCTCATCTTCCTCTTTAAATACTCTCGTTACGAGATGAATTACCGTCTGAATTAACTGGCAAGTCTTTGTGCTTTCTACAAATTGCTTAAGAACATAAATATTTATAGGTTGCCTGTGGGAGTCATCATTCAAATCAGAAGCAGACCTTTCAAACTAAGATAACAAGCCTTTAACAGTTTCGGTATCACTTCCGCAAGCCGGAGTCAAAAGGTTGAAGGACAAAATTTCCGGGCTGCGCATGTCCAACTCAACTACGACCACATCGTCATTTGTTGAGAAGCATGCATTCCAATATCACTTTCAGCATCTTCATGTGTTGTAAACACATCATCCTTTTCCGATAAAACACTAAAAATCAATGGAATTAAACAATATTTCTGACTACCAATTTCATTCATGATTGATGAACTCTCCCCAGGTTGATTAGAGTTGTCTACAAACGGAATTCCAGAGCAATGAAGAAACGGTGCATGATGTGTGTCCATGGCCTCACTAGTGAAGAACATGCTTTGGAGTTTGGAGAGCTCTTCTTTTCTGTAACTTCTCCATGTTCTGGAAACTGGCATAATACTGTTACCTTCACCTGCATATTTTCGATACGTCCGAAATCTTCTTAGCAGAAGGTATATGTATTGCTTCAGCCTTTTCATCTCCCATGGAAAATGCAACTTTTCCTCTGTTGAAGGTATTGTGCAAATCCTGTCGATAATTTTATCTTCTCTAGTTCCGTTCTTCTGAGTATCATTATCGTGATCATCATCAAGAAGGAATCATCTGGTGGGTGGCTTTCCACTGTTAATAATGGAATTTTGGAGAAATAAAAGACTGATACTCCGTATAATTCTGATAGCCACTGAAAAAAATGACCTGTTTAGAAGAGAATATTCTATCCTATGTTTCAGTATTCTTTTCATTTTCTGAAAAGTCACTCTGATAACAGTATAATCTGTCTGCACCACTTTCATATTAATATCAACACACACGTTTGGTCATGGTCTTCTCATCTCTTCTGCCATGTATTTCATGGTAGGCATCCATTTTAAAGGTTCTGATTCTTTGTCTCTTCTTATAATGAAGGCAAAGTCAGTATCACTGGTGCTTTTAAGCTTGCACTTAACTGACATGTCCATTTCACAAGTAATGAGCTGCTGTTCCAGAGGAGAACCACTTAAAATAACTGTGGACTCACCAAAACCAAGAGAGGTCAGAGGCCGTAATGTCATGTCTTTCTTAGTAGCAATATGTCCTGCTAATTTTTTCTCATTTAAGTTTGTTGATTCCTGTTCATTACTTTATCCAATCTATCCTGAATTTCTCGCAACTCTTATCCAATATCTTTGACCTTCGCTACAACTTCTGCTTCTCGAATCTGAGCCCAAAGTTATCGCATCTAGCTTTCTCCAACCTGCAATGGAAGAAAATTACAACTCTACGGTTGTTCGTCTAGTAAAGGAAAACAATGCTGAAGGAAGACAGAACTAAAGGTTTGAATTAGAATCGTTTACTAACTAAATAACTTGAGAGTATTTGATTTTATAAATTGTAAAAGAATGTTCTCATTGGCTTAAAATGTAGCAAACTAACTGAAACTAAGCGGCACAGCTGTAATAGAGTAAATTATAATAGAAAAATTGTCGAGTATAACACAAGGATCACAATGATCGGTGCTAAACAAACGATCTCTTCTAAGCAATGCACGGTGTAAAAGAAGAAAGAAAAAGGAACTCCGAACAATATTTTCACGAAAATCAACACCAGAATACCTTTAGTCCCCGAAACCATGATCTGCGCCGCCGCTTCTTTTGCTGCATTGCGGTATACTTCCGCATAAACCGTCTCCAAGGCCGTCGATATCTAAACATCCATTAACCAACAAGATTAAACTTCGAAAACGAAAAAGACAAACAGAATCAAACATTCCGGATTGAGGAAAAGAATCAAAGGCGAAGGAAACAAGCAATGTTTTCTTTAATGTAAAGATAAACAGAAAAAATACCTCGGAATCGCCCACTATTGAGACATTTCCAGAGATTTTACGACGGAAATTTAGATGCACAAGACGAAGTGAAGAATTTGAGAGGCAAATAAAATCCTTCTCTTATACGATTTTACGAAATTGCCCTTATCGAATCACAAAATCACGTGCCTGAGGGAGCCCCAAAACCGGCAATTCGGTTCTCTTTCATATTTTTTGGCGCCGTACGCGCGCCATGAGATTGGCTCCATCACCTGCCGTTGGATCGTTGGTGTGGTCAAAGTTTATTAGCACGTGGGAGAAATACCACACGTGTTAGCTGAAATTTTAAAATAATTAAGGTAGATAAAATATTACTTTGATCCTTCCGTTCGGAACTTCTTATTTAGAATGATTTTTAGTTTTTTTTATTATTAATAGTAGTTAGAATAACTAAAACCGAAAATTTAATATTTTAATAATTAAATATATTTCAACCCGTATAAATCTATATTTTCCATACTAATTTCTATACTCCTAATTTATAATCCAACCAGCTACAAAGACGTCATCAATATTTAATATTATATATAAAGAACGCTTCAATTCTTCTTTAAAAATAAAAAATAAAAACTTGAAATTTTATACTCCTTTAATTTCATACCACTCTTTTTTATTTATTTATTTCCAACTTTATAAAATTAACGACTATAGTCTAACTATAAATATAAAATTAAAACAATAAAGTAATTTGAAGACGTACAACATTTGGAGTGTGGATTTAGAATAATTGAGGTGAAGAATTAAATATTGTGCCAGCTGTAAAACATAAGATGAGGACACTATATGCATATTAATTATTATTCTCAGTTCGGTTTTTTTCTTTCTTTAATTTATTTTATCTGAAAGAGAGCTCCTTGAGATTTGTGAAGAGATACCAAATGTTCATGGATTGGAGTTCGCAGATTAGATAATTATTATTAGTATTATTATTATAAACTTATAATATTCATATTCCTATTTTTACTTATTTAAAAATTAAACTTTATATATATATAGATATATATGTGTGTGTATATGTATATAATGCAATTATAAAACATTTAAACTAGATTTATTGATAATTCCTAAATAGTTTATTTCAAAATTTATAGAGAAAACAATAGATTTTTACTTTAAAAAACTAACGGTGATTTATTAAAAATATGTAATTAAATTTAGACATTTGAAAATATCAAATTAAAATAGAAAAAAACAGTATTATAGCCATTTTTAAAAAATTATTTTCTACAGATAATTAATATTTACACGTGAAATTATATATATGTCAAGAAAATGTTACCAAATCTAAAAAATACAACAACTTCGATTGGAATCTTATTGGAAATATTCGGTTTTTTCCTTTTATTTATATTTAAATTATTTTGTACTTTAATATTTTAAATATTGGAACTTGCGTTTGACCTAACAAACAAATAATAAATGAAATTAGTGGGTTTCAATTGACCCATAAAAAATGATGGGTTCGTTAAGGGTCCCACTCGGAGCCCTAGCCAGATAGGAAGATAACATTAATAACGTGTATGCAAAAAGGAATTTTTAAATATATATATTTATTGGTGATGTGAAGCCAAGTTTGAGGATCCACGCTTTTAGAACGAATGTTTTTTTTTTCTTAATTTTTTTTAATCGATGTGCGATCTCACAATCCACTCTCTTAGAAGCTAGCATACTCGTTAGCACATCATCCGGTGAGCACTCTAATATCATTGGCCAGCGAATCCACCCCCTTGAGGGCCAACAATGCTCGGTGTCTGACTTTGATATCATTTGTAACAGCCCAACTCCACCGCTAGCGAATATTGTCCACCTTGACCCATTACGTATAACTGTCAGCCTTGCGATTTTGATAAGCATCTACTAGGGAGAGATTTTTACACTCTTATAAATAATGTTTCGTTTTACCCTTCAACCGACACAGGATCTCACAGTATCCAACTAGTAATGAGAATGGAATGAAGAAAATTTTTGGAGAGGAAGCTATTTCTCCCTAAACAGGGTTCGAGAATGAAGATTTTATTCTCCATCTCTGTCTCGATAACATATCTTCACCACTAATCTCAACAATTTGTATTAAATTTTTATCATTTTTATTTAAAGTTCAATTTCCAGTAAATTGAAACATAAGGTGTGATGTATCACATTGATTGGAGAGGAGAACAAAACACCCTTTATAACGGTATGGAAACCTTCCCCTATCAGATGCGTTATAAAGCCTCGAGGGGAAGCCCTAAAGGGAAAAGCTAGCCTTCTCACTGTTCTCCAAAGAAGGTAGACATGAGGCGGTGTGCCAGTAAGAACCTAGGCCCCAAAGGGACAAATGGTATCAGGGTCGGACACCGGACGATGTGTGACCTGGGGCCCGAGGGGGTGGATTGTGATGTCCCACATTAGTTGGTTGGAGATGGACGATGTGCCAACCTTCTCACTCTTCTCCAAAGAAGGTAGACATGAGGTGGGTTGTTACAAATGATATTAGAGTCAGACACCGGACGATGTGCCAGCCTTCTCACTGTTCTCCAAAGAAGGTAGACATGAGGCGGTGTGCCAGTAAGAACCTAGGCCCCAAAGGGACAAATGGTATCAGGGTCGGACACCAGACGATGTGTGACCTGGGGCCCGAAGGGGGGTGGATTGTGATGTCCCACATTAGTTGGTTGGAGATGGACGATGTGCCAACCTTCTCACTCTTCTCCAAAGAAGGTAGACATGAGGCGGTGTGCCAGTAAGAACCTAGGCCCCAAAGGGACAAATGGTATCAGGGTCGGACACCAGACGATGTGTGACCTGGGGCTCGAAGGGGGGTGGATTGTGATGTCCCACATTAGTTGGTTGGAGATGGACGATGTGCCAACCTTCTCACTCTTCTCCAAAGAAGGTAGACATGAGGCGGTGTGCCAGTAAGGACCTGGGCCCCCACATTGGTTGGTTGGAGATGAGAACAATTTATGAGGTATCGGGTGAAATTTAAAACGAAAAAAAGAATATATATTGGTTTGAGAAAGAAGAAGAAGAAGCCAAAAAAAAGGTAAAGGCTGAGAATGAGTGAATGAAAATGATGGGTGAGCATATTGGAGGGCGTAGCATAGGCCACCATACACACAACATTATCATAATATGCGATGCATCACATCCCTTCACCCTTCAATTTCACATATATTATTCTCATCCCCTTTTTTCCCATTTGATTTGAATCGAATATGCCAATCCCACACCCACGCTCCACACTTTCCCTAGGCTTTTCATAACCCCCCAAAAATATCCAAAAATAATAATAATATTATTATTATTAATAAAAATCCAACCGAATCAATTTGATTCAATTTTTATGTATCTAATTTTTTAGATTTTATAAAGGGGAGAATCGAGGATCTTTTATTTTATTTTATTTAAATATTTTGTGTATTATTTTTCTTTTTAAATTTTTTATATGGTGAAATTGCATTCAAATAATATCGCATTGAGTGGTTAACAATAAGATGCCTAAAGCTTTTTGTGCCTTATGATTAAATTAAAAAAAGTACAACAAATTTGATGTTGTAAGGTTAGGGGATTTAATTATTGAGTTATGAGATTTAATTTAACCTATATTAAATATTCAAAAGGTTTTATCATCAATGTCTTGGGAGTTCCTTTTCATCAATAAATGAGTTACTTTATTGCAAGTTTACTCTACCTATTTGTTAAATATAATATTAAAATTTTAAATTTTTATTCGATATAAAATATAATTTTATATCTAACCTATCTTAATCTTCGATAACACCTTTAAATTTTTTTAAAAACTTTCAACCACCTTTAAATTCTCGGAGTCAATATCAAGATTAAAATATACTTTTAAGTTGTAAAAATTTTAGAAATAATTTATAAAATGTCGCTAGATAATTTTCATCCGTATATTGACAGTAAAATATTTTTAATTTTTTTTATAAAGATATAAGTATTAATGCAATTTTTAAAATTACTAAAATATTTTTAATTATATTATGAATATTTTTTAAATATAAAGTTTAATGAGATTTTTTAGACAATTTTTTTTTATTAATTTAGTCAAAATAAAATTACCACGTTTTATCCTGAGGCGTGTCTGCACCGACCTCCACGTGCCGCGTGTGGCATCTTCAGCTTCGTCTGTTTGTTCTGCCTCTATATATACACATGCTTCTCTCTGCGGTTACCTTCCTCCTCCATATCCGACACGCTTCCTTCTTCACTTGTATACTTCTGCAAACCCTCTCGCCGTCAAAACTGTCGTCGTTGTCGTCTCCTTTTGATCATGCGAAGCACTGCTGCCGTCGTCAATGAATCCCCCGCCGCCGAGACCTGTGGCGGCGGTCCTGGTGAGATCATGCTGTTTGGTGTTAGAGTAGTGGTGGATTCGATGAGGAAGAGCGTGAGTTTGAACAATCTGTCGCAGTACGAGCAACCTCATGAAGCCGCCGATGTAATCACTAACGACAGTAAGAACGACCTTGTTTCCGTTAATAACAAAGATGATGTTGCTGCTGGTTATGCCTCTGCGGATGATGCTGTTCCCAACGCCCGGGGGAACCGCGAGCGTGAGCGCAAGCGAGGTTCGATTGGCATCGGATCTCCGATCGCTTTTGATTTCTGTTTCTCTTGTTGATTCGTATCAATTTCTTCTGGTTTCTGGTTCCTTTTTCCCTGATTCCTATGGTTTCTTTAGATTCAATTTTTCGATCTAGTTAATTGAGTACTTGAGTAACTCTGTTTTATGATGAGCGTACGGAAAGATGCTGGAGTTTGCGTTTTGAATTTCTGTATCTCTGATTTTGTGTTTATGTTGACGAATTTCTTGTGTGAATGGAAAATAGGCGTGCCTTGGACTGAGGAAGAGCACAAGCTATTTTTGGTTGGACTGCAACAAGTAGGGAAGGGGGATTGGAGAGGAATTTCTAGGAACTTTGTGAAGACTCGCACCCCAACTCAGGTCGCTAGCCACGCTCAGAAATACTTTCTTCGCCGGAGCAATCTAAATCGCCGTCGCCGTAGATCTAGTCTTTTCGATATCACGACGGACACGGTAACTTACGAATGCTTGCCATTCAATTACTATATTCCATTTGTTTGATTGTTAAATCTGATTACTCATATAGGATTCCTGATCCTGAATTTTTCGACGATCTAGCATAACTTGGTTGTTGATTGGGAGTCAACTAGGTGGTTGGATAACTTAACTAATTATTTGGGCGATTGACCAAATCCATGACCAATTACTCTCTATGACGATGGATCTAAGATTTATTTTAGTCTGCATTTTCTTAGAGACGAACGTTGACCTTTAAAATACCAAATTGCTTAAATGATCTCCATATGTCTAGCTTCTGCTGTTTAATTGACCAATGAAAGACATGACTTTTCTATCTCATAACCTCTATCTGTCTCTTACCAACCCTGAAAAGTTTGATTTTCACGCTAACTCTGATTTTTCTTTTCCTTTCGTGTTAGGTCACGGCTGCTCCAATGGTTGAAGAGCCAACGAAGCGTCAAGAAATTGCCTCTCAATCCCATTCCTTTATTCCATCACCCCCACCTGAAATTTCTAAGCACAATGTAATTCCAGTCGAGCAAACTTTGCCATTTTCGTTTGGGCCAGCACCATTAGCCACCACTCTAACCAAGAATCTGATGGAAAAGTGTGGTCCTGGAGAAGTGAACACAGAAAGTGATGGATCACTGAAGCTCGGCCTCAAGGATTCCATCTTTCCCTCTAATCAGAATCCAACCTCAACTGGTTTGAACTTGAATTCAAACTCAGCAATGGAGTCATCAGCTTTGTCTCTTCGCCTTTCCTTAACATCTGACCAGAGAGAGGCTTCATCAAGACACTCAACTTTCCAGGCCATGCCAAGTTTCAATAATGGTGAGGGCATCATAAGTGCAGCCTAATGATTTACAGACCGGGGAGAAGTTATTGACAATTAGAGGGAACGTGGCTATAGACGACAGAAGTTATTAGGTGACTGAATCTGATCCTATCCAGTGCAGACCCGGAAAAAGGGGGTTGCTCCATGTTTTTGATGGCATCTATGTTATCTAGATTCTTGATGATTTGCTGTTCTTGTCGGTAGCTGATACTGACTGAATAATGACACTGTTCTCTGTTAGAAATGACTGTATTTTGGTGGGTCTGGTCTCTTGTGGGTATGCTTGTAGTTTGAAGGATGGAATATCCAAGTTGGATAAAATGGGTGGTTGCGATACTGTGAAAGAAGCGGGGGAGGAGGCAAAATTCCCCTGTTTCTGTATCTTCCATTAATTTTTTTTTTGTCAACGTTTGAAAGGAATCTCTAAGATCTCCACATCCACAGTGATGGGTCATTATGGGTGTTGTGTGTCTGAGGCCGTGTATTTGTATATGTGGTATGGGTTCTCTTCGTCTTATCGTCCACAGCCTTCATTGGATGTAAAAACTCATGTAATACACTCGGAGTTTTTCATTTCCAGACTTCTCAATACTTCTTAACCTAGTTTAAATCCATTGAATGAACCATAATTGATCGTTTATTTTGAGGTTAGAGAAGAAAAATTGTAGGATTTGAATGAAAAATTGTAGGATTTGAATGAATGACATTTAAGTAATAGGTAGTAGAGCCGTATTGAATCTTATCAAATCCTATACAGCCTATGAAACTTCTTTTTGCATGTGCTATGTCTATCTCTTTGTACTTTTAAAATCTTATCTTCTTATCTTTGACAATTTTCAATTCTAGCTTTAATGACCTTTTTTTGAGAAAAAAATTGTTCGAGTCTATCATGAAAATGACATAAATATGTGAAGATTAGTCACTTATTTGAAGGAATGCAAACAATTGTTTCTGCATCAGCTGTTCTTTTGTACCTTTCTATGTTTAACAAATTTCACAATCACTTTATTGTTTCCATTTACATTGAAAAGTATCTAATTTAATTTAATTCGAGTGAGATCCCCCGTCGGTTAGAGAGAAAAACTTACATTCTTTAAAAAGGTGTGAAAACTTCTCCCTAGCAAACTTGTTTTAAAAAACCTTGAAGAGAAGCTCGAAAATCTCTCAATAATTTACCCTGCCAAGAGGGAACTACTATGCTAAAAAGAATGAACCTAAGGGAAAATATACTAACAAGAGACCATCCAGAGGTTTGAATACTTGCAAGAACCCAAGAAAGGCTTCAAACTTTTAAACTAACCAATGTGAGGGCAAACAAAGATATCATCAATCTTTGAACATATTGGTATCAGAAACATGGATCACAAGTTATACACTAAAGGGGCATATATATATGTGATGAATTCGAATAGATAACGAGTGACCAGAAGTGTAAAACAACTTGAATTTGAACACTAAAGAGAGAATATTTGTCAAGAAATTGAGTTCCAATCCAATACGTTTTTTTATCACAGGTGAGACATGGAAAGAACATGGAAGTCTAGAAGTCAGATTTCAACAACACACACATTTGAAAGTATCTGAAGGATTGCAAGTCACTGAGCTGTGGAATGAGCAATAATTTAATGGCAGTATAGTGTACTGATGTACAATTGCATTTACCAGTATAGTGAGAACTCCATGGTCAGCATCATTCTATCCAGAGGATGAAAGCCAAGGGTTAGGCGCAACGTACGAATATCCCTGGAAGTGTCCACCATCGGTTGGCGTCGGAGCTGGTGAGTCGTCTGGAGGCATTGCTGTCCAACAATGATCGAAATTTGCTGTGCAGTCATTTCCATTGACATCCGGTTTGAACTTTGGTTGCAGCTCCCTACATTCCAGTTTCTTCCAGTTCACCGGTCGAAACCATTTGTGTTTCTTTATCTCGTCCCCTCCGTTGGGTCCGCTGCCTAATCTTGTAGAAGGCTCCTTTTGTAATAGCTGCGAACAACAACAGTTCCCATTATCATTCACGATCGTCATAAAAAGAAAGATAACAGATAAAAATGGAGCTCTAAGTTTACCCCTCTGAGGAGAGAGTGAGCTTCTGTGCTCAGATATGGTGGAAGCTTCACTTTCTCTTTGATTATTCTTTCTTGAAGCTTCTTTCTATTAGCGTGCGTGAACGGTGGCTGCATATCGTGAAATAGAACAACAGTAAAAACGGCGTACTGTTAAAGTTTAGCAACCAGAGGCAGTTTTGGATAAAGAACACAAGCATTATATTGTAAACATGAATCACTGAATTCAGATAGCCACAAAAGAAACTAGTTTTACTGGTTCACTGAAATTCCTATAATTCTTGCGATTAAATGAATGAATGAATTTCATGTACCTGGCCACTAAGCATTTCATACAAGAGGACTCCAACGCTCCACCAATCAGCATCTTTGTTGTGACCTTTAGAAAGCAAGATCTCTGGAGCCATATACTCTGTTGTTCCACACATCGAATTAGACCGGCTCGATATCTCAATTTCCTTGGCCAGTCCAAAATCTGTAAGCACTACCTGTATAAACATTCAAGATTCAGGAACACAGGAAGAAAACTCATTAGTACAAGTCAAGCTTGCTTGACATTACATGCCCATCAGCATCCATAAGAATGTTCTCCGGCTTCAGATCACGGTGCACAATGCCACAGCTGTGAAGATGCGAAACGGCCGATACAATCTCGGCTGCATAGATCCTTGCCTGATCCTCACTAATCAAAAAGGACCCATGATCCATATCAATTGGAGTTCGTAAAATATCATGATTGGTAATAGAATAAAAGCTTTTTAACTGAGATTGGAGGGTACCTGAAGATTCCCTGCCTGTACAGATGGAAAAAGAGATGCCCTCCATTTATGAAATCAAGAATCAAGTACAGTTTTGATTTGGTCTGCAAACACAGAACGCAGTGGATGATCAAAGATAAACTACTTGGCAAATTCACACAGCTATAACTTATCATCTGAAGTTGGTCTAAGCTTAATACAATCCTATCAGTTTAAGCAATGAACGAAGAGAAAGGAGAAATTTGAAGACCTGGAAAGAGTAGCGGAGCTGAACAATGAAAGGATGAGCAACTTTTGTGAGAATATCTCTCTCAGCCTTCATATAGTCCACATGATTCTTCTTTATGATGGTATCCTTCCTCATCACTTTCATAGCATAAATCCCATCATTATTAGAGCCATTTCCTTTACAATCCCCTTTCTTCCTCACCAAAAATACCTTCCCAAACGCCCCTTTTCCCACCACTCGAAGAATATCAAAATCCGCAACTCCAATCTTCCCCTGTGTCTTCTCTCCACCACCACTTTCACTCTCATCCGCCCCCTTCATCTCCTCTTGAGCGCCATTTTGAGTCGAGATTTCTAGGTCATCTTCTTCATCCTCCTCCTCGCTCTGTGGATCGACTTCTCGGAAAAATGGAAGGGAAGACGGAGGAGTTAGCCGGGGAGATGGACCCACAAATGAGTGAGATCTGTTGTGAATGACCTCTGGTTGTTGTTCGTGGTGTTGTGGGTCCGTCGGAAAACATGACGAGGAGGGATTTGTGGGACCAAAAACGTCGGAGAAATCGAAGTCGGCTGTGGATGAAGGAGGAGGAGGAGAAGAAGAAGGAGACGAAGAAGGGATGGTTAGCTTCGTGAGACTGGCCACAAGAAGGGAGTGCATGTTTTTGTGACGGTTCGATGCGGACACCATTGTGGCTAGAGAATCCGATCGAGGAATGGAACCCTTGAGAAGGCGAATAAGATCGACAAATTTGCAAAGCCAGCCGTGAATTTCTTCTGGGCGGGCTGAGAACTTAAGAATCACATCGTAAAAAAAGGAGATAGATCGAGAATGAATAAGATCAAATGCGTTGGAGGAAAAACAAGGGGAAAAAAAAAAAAAAACTGCAGATGAAAAGCGAAAAGATTACGAAATCAAAAAAGCGAGCGCGGGGGAAGATTGAAACTGGAACAGAATTGGAGTGCAGGCTCGGAGAAGAAGGAAGAAGAAGAGGAGGAAGAAAGAGATGAAATCAGGAGGGAGAGAAACGAAGGGAATCTGAATAGGGAATTGATGTTTATTTGACCATAAATTTTGGAGTTGAAATTGATGAGGAAGGGTCGATATTGAAAAGCTTACGGATCGGACTTATTTTCTGGCTCATTTTCCCGGTAACCAAACACTAATTACTCTTTTTTCAATTAAATATTTATTAGGAAAAATAATGGTTCAAATAGTCACGTGCAAGGCAAGGAGTTGAATATTATGTGGATCAGAATGCTATTGCTTGCCCGCGTTTTCACTTTCCAAATATATATTCTTTTAATAATAAATATTTATACAAATATGAAGCTAATGCCAAAAAGTTAAACTCCAATTCAATTTATTAATTGTGGCGGCTCATTTTAGTAATGGAATTCACTTATATATATATATATATATATATTTTTTCAATTTTTTGAGTTTGATACCAATGATTTAAAAAGGTTTATAATTAATTCTAAACAAAAATGTCGAAAAATATGACCTATAACCCATTAAAAGTATATTAACTAAATAAATATTTTAAAAAATCTTGAAATTCCAAACTCCAAAAATATAAAAAAAGGTGAAGAGTAAGTAAAAATATATTTAAAATCCAAAAAGGTTAACAAACCCATGTTATTGTCAATAAATAAACGGGAAGGATTGATATTTTAAAAAAATAAATAGATAAGAAAGAATCAAAATTTAATAGAATGAAATATAAAATGTCAAAATAAAAAAAGGGCTGCCTAATTTTTAAAAATAGATTTTGTTGCCTAAAATCTCTTGTTAAAATATTCTGATATCCAAGAGTATATGCTTTTATTGTTCGACTTAGATTCTGATATATCGAAACAAAAAAAAAAAAAAAAAAAAAAAAAAAAAAAAAAAAAAAAAAAAAAA